CACCTGCCTCTGTCAGTAGAGTGCACAACTCCTGATCTTGGGGTCGTGAGTTTTAGCCCCATGTTGGGTGTAGAGATTAGTTTAAAAAAATTAGTTGTACAAGTATAGAATAGAGAAGACCTGACTTGAAAGTTCTTCTTGGGAATTCATAAGACTTTATAGAAACAAGTAAACAAGTAGATTTTCTTTTAGTGTCAGTGTTAGTATTTAACTTTGTTTTAGGATGGACAGTTTGGCCATGGCTTTCTCGAATCTTAAACATGTTTACTTACTTTGAATAATTGTCTCAAGAATTTTTCCCAGGGAAATACTTCAGGGGACAAGAATAATTTAAAAACAAAACCATGTTTTTAGCTGTTTTTTTTTGGGGGGGAGGGATAGAAATGATTAAGTAAATTGTGGATCTACAGGTCAACATTAAAGAGCTTAATATGATAATTCTGTGGCTGTATAGAAAAATGTTCACCTGTTAATAAAAGAAGTAGAATAGAAATTACATATCTATTTCACTTGTAAAAAATTCTATTTACATGTTAATGAAAATTGAAAAGGCATTTAAAACTAGTGAAAACTATTTTTTAGGATAATTATAGTTAAATTTAAACATTTAAATTTTTTTACATTTGAATTTTTTTTTTAATTTTTTTTTTCAACGTTTATTTTTATTTTTGGGACAGAGAGAGACAGAGCATGAACGGGGAAGGGGCAGAGAGAGAGGGAGACACAGAATCGGAAACAGGCTCCAGGCTCTGAGCCATCAGCCCAGAGCCCGACATGGGGCTCGAACTCCCGGACTGCGAGATCGTGACCTGGCTGAAGTCGGACACTTAACCGACTGCGCCACCCAGGCGCCCCTACATTTGAATTTTTATGTTAGAAATTATTTGAGTATAGTTGATACACAGTGGTACATTAGCTTCAGGTATACAACATTGTGATTCAGTTTCTCTATACCTTATGCTTTGCTCACCACAAGTGAAGCTACCATCTGTCACCATAGAACGTTGTTACAGTATCATCGACCGTATTCCCTATGCTGTGACTTTTCTCCCTGTGACTTACTCATTCCATAACTGGAAGCCTGTATCTCCTGTTTTGCCAATTCACCCCCACCCCATTCACCTCTGGCAAATATCAGCTCTGTATTTAAGGTTGATTCTGCTTTTTTTTGTTTATTCATTTGTTGTTGCTTTTAGATTCCACATATGAATGAAATCATATGATATTGGTCTTTCTCAGTCTGAATTATTTCACTTAGCATAAGACCCTCTAGGTCCATCTGTGTTGTTGCAAATGGCTCAAACTCATCCTTTTTTATGGCTGCATAATATTCGTCTGACACACACACACACACACACACACACACACACACACACACACCACTCTTCCTTATCCATTTATCTATCAGTGGACACTTGAGTTGCTTCTACATCTTGGCTATTGGAAGTAATACTGCAATAAACACAGGACGCATACATCTTTTCAAACTGATACAGTGTTTTTATTTTCTTTAGGTAAATACCCAGTAGTGGAATTGCTGCGTCATATGGTATTTCTATTTTTAATTTTTTTTTTATTTTTTTATTTTTTCAACGTTTATTTATTTTTGGGACAGAGAGAGACAGAGCATGAACGGGGGAGGGGCAGAGAGAGAGGGAGACACAGAATCGGAAACAGGCTCCAGGCTCTGAGCCATCAGCCCAGAGCCCGACGCGGGGCTCGAACTCACGGACCGCGAGATCGTGACCTGGCTGAAGTCGGACGCTTAACCGACTGCGCCACCCAGGAGCCCCTCTATTTTTAATTTTTTGAGGACCCTCCATACTGTTTTCCACAGGGGTTGCACCAATTTACATTCCCACCAACAGGGCACAAGGGTTTTGGGTTTTGTTTTTTGTTTTTTGTTTTTTTCCCTCCACATCCTCACCAACACCTGTTATTTCTGGTCTTTTTGGCACTAACCATTCTAACAGGTATAGAGGTTATATCTCATGGTGATTTTGATTTGCATTTCCTGGGTGATTAGTGATGTTGAGCATCCTTTCAGTGTGTCTGTTGGCCATGTCTTCTTTAGAAAAAATATTTCTTCAGGTCCTCCGCTCATTTTAATTGGATTATTTGTAGTTTCAGTGTTGAATTGTATAAATTCTTTATGTATTTTGGATATTAATTCCTTATCCGATATATCATTTGCAAATATCTGCTCCTATTCAGTAGGTTGCCTTTTTGTTTTGTTGATTGTTTCCTTCATTGTACAAAAGCTCTTTAGCTTGGTGTAGTGCCAGTTGTTTATTTTTGCATTTGTTTCCCACACGTCAGGAGACGTATCTAGAAAAATGTTGCTAAGGCTGATGTCCAAGAAATTATTGCCTATGTTTTCTCCTAGGAGTTTGTGGTTTTAGGATTCATATTTAGGTCTTTAATCTATTTTAAGTTTACTGTTGTGTATGGTGTCAGAAAGTGATCCAGGTTTGTTCTCTTGCATGTAGCTCTCCATTTTTCCCAGCACTGTTTATTGAAGAGACTGTCTTTTTCCATTGGGTAGTCTTGCCTCTTTTGTCATAAATTAATTGACCATACTGGTGTGGGTTTATTTCTGGGCTCTCCATTTTGTTCTATTTATTTGTCTAAATTTTGTGCCAGTACCATACTGTTTTGATTACTATAGCTTTGTCTATAACTTGAAATCCAGGATTGTGATGCCTCCGGCTTTGTTCTTTCTCAAGATTGGTTTGGCTGTTTGGGGTCTTTTGTGGTTCCATACAGATTTTAGCATGAATTGTTCTAGTTCTGTGGAAACTACAATTGGTATTTTGATAAGGATTTCATTGAGTCTTAAACAGTTTTTCTTTATTTTTCTTTCTTTATTTTTTTAACATTTATTTATTTTTGAGACAGAGGCAGAGCATGAACGGGGGAGGGTCAGAGAGAGAGGGAGACACAGAATCAGAAGCAGGCTCCAGGCTCTGAGCCGTCAGCCCAGAGCCCGACACGGGGCTCGAACTCACGGACCGCGAGATCGTGACCTGAGCTGAAGTCGGCCGCTTAACCGACTGAGCTACCCAGGTGCCCCAAACAGTTTTTCTTTAATATCAGATCTAGTCAGTGTTCAAATTTTCAATATTCTCACAAGTTTTTACTTTAAAGTTACTTACACTTTTTTAAAAAATTAGGGTCCAAATGAAGTCCATATGTTGCAATTGGTTGTCTTCAGTGTTTTTAAATCTGTTTGTTCTCCCTCCGTGTCTTTCTTTTTCTTCTGGTGTTCTCCTTCTGTTGAAGAAACTAACTTGTTTGACGGTAGGGTTCCCCACTGTCTGGATTTTGGCTGACAGTGTCTTTTCACATGTTCCTCAGTCTTCTGCTTTCCTGTGAAGTAGGAGGTGGATCTAGTTACCATTCCTGGATAGGAGATACTTTTCACTCTGTCTCCCTTTAGGGCCTTCTCTTTAGTTTCATGGTTCTGTCTTTTTATTCGATTTTAATGGTTTGTTTGTTTTTATTTTTTTTTAATGTTTATTCATTTTTTGAGAGTGAGAGACAGAATGTGAGGGGGGAGGGACAGAGAGAGAGGGAGACACAGAATCTGAAGCAGGCTCCAGGCTCTGAACTGACTGTTAGCACAGAGCCCGATGTGGGACTTGAACCCACAAACCGTGAGATCATGATGTGAGCCAAAGTTGGGCTCTTAACTGACTGAGCCCCCCAGGTGCCCCGAGTTTCATGGTTTTTTGTTTGTTTTGTTTTAGTAAGCTCTGTGTCCAATGTGGGGCTTGAACTCACGACCCCTAGATCAGGTGCTACATGCTCCACCAACTGAGCCAGGCAGGTGCCCCTAGAGTTTAATTTTTATTTATTGTTCATTGTATGTGTTGCTTCCTATATCTATGGATTTGTGTTTTTCTCCCATCCTCAAGAGATAACAATGCCCATATTGCCTGTTTTCTTGTCCTGTTCTCTATCACTTTTCTCCTCCTTTTTTGTTTTTTTTTTTATTTATTTAATTTATTTTTTATTTTAGGGAGGAGTCGGAGCAGAGTGAGAGGGAGAAAGATAATCTCAAGCAGGCTCCGTGCGCAGCATGGAGCTCTACACGGGGCTGATCTCATGGCTATGAGATCACGACCTGAGCCGAAATCAAAAGTCTGACACTTAACTGACTGAGCCACCCAGGTGCCCCTGTCCCCCTCTCTTCTATTCTCCTTTCCTTCCTATCCCCTTCAGTAGATGACAGAATAGACAAGTTATGTGATGTGAGCTAACTGGAGTTGAGCAACATTTAAAAAACATATTATTGGGGTGCCTGGGTGGCTCAGTTGGTTGAGTGTCTGACTGTGTTTCAGCTCATGATCATGATGATGATCTCACGGTTTGTGGGTTCAAGCCCCACATCAGGCTCTGTGCTGATGGCATGGAATCTGCTTGGGATTTTCTCTCTCCCTCTCTCTGCCCCTCCCTTGCTCATGTGTGCGCTCTCTTCTCTCTCTCTCTCTCTCTCTCTCTCAAAATAAACATTGTTATCAAAATATAGTTAGAAAGTAAAGTAAAATGAAACTATGAGAATTTGCCACATAAACCTATAGGTCCTTCTCTTCACCAAAATATGAAGACTAAATTGCAGGAGTGTTGACCTCAAGAATATCTCACTAAAGTGAAGGGGCGCCTGGGTGGCTCAGTGGGTTAAGCGTCTGACTTTGGCTCAGGTCAGGATCTCACAGGTCACAAGTTTGGGTGATGTGTTGAGCTCTGTGCCGACAGCTCAGAGCCTGGAACCTGCTTTAGATTCTGTGTCTCCCTCTCTGCCCCTCCCCCACTCGTGTGTGTGTGTGTGTGTGTGTGTGTGTGTGTGTGTGTGTGTGTGTCTCAAAAAATAAACATTAAAGAAAAGGAATATCTCAATATATGAAAAAAACAAATTTTTAAGGACTTTATTAAGATCTTGTCAATTTTGTAATTTTCTTCCTAGATCTCCTCATATTTTGGATTCTGTCTATATTATCATGAATGACACGTTGACCTTAGATGTCATTGGTCGACGAGTTGAAGTTAATGGAGAACATGCAACAGTGCGTTTTTCTGGTGTTGTCCCTCCTGTGGCAGGTAAATTATAAGTGTGTGTGTGTGGTGTGTGTATTTATTTATTCTGGATTGTTTCTTTGTAGGCTTCTCTGTAGTGCTCCCTCCCCCCCCCATAGTGCTTTGTAACAACAAGAAACAATTTGTAGATGCTTCTTATATTCTTATATACCATTGTTTTGTTCGGGTAACAATATCCTGTGGTATCTATGGTTTTATTTCATTTTACATTTATCTAATTATTTAGTGTTACTATTTTATATTAATTGAATGTTAAAATATCTTCTGAGTAAACTTAAAACAACTCATAATCTTGAATTTTCATACCCTACCCTCAAAAACTAAGAATTTTTTGGAAATTTCTTTTGTCATTAATCCACGTGTATATGTATTTGAAGTAGCTTAAATCGATATAAATACAATTTGTGATGTCTTCTTTCATTTATTATTTGGAATATATTTATGTTTCTATAGTATTATTTTCCTTACATTTTTTGTTAAGATATAATTGACATATAACATTATATTAGTTTCAGGTATACAAAACAATGATTTGATATCTGTATATATTGCAAAATGATAACCAAGTTAAGTCTAGTTAACATTCATCATCATACATACTTACAGAGTGTTTTTGGTGTGATAACTTTTTTTCCTTTTATATAATATCATTCTTGTATTTTTTTTTATTTTTTATTAACAATTTTTTTTAATGTTTATTTGTTTTTGAGAGGGAGGGAGGAGGAGCAGAGAGAGAGGGAGACACAGAATCCAAAGCAGGTTCCAGGCTTTGAGCTGTCAGCACAGAGCCCGATGTGGGGCTCAAACTCATGAACTGTGAGATCATGACCTGAGCCGAAGTCGGACGCTTAACTGACTGAGCCACCCAGGCACCCCTCATTCCATTATTTTTAAATTTATTTATTATTATTTTTATTTTTTAATTTTAATTCCAGTATAGTTAGCATACATTGTTGTGTTGGTTTCAAGTGTACAATGTAGTGATTCAGCAATTCTTTACATTTTTCCTGTGTTCATCAAGATAAGTGTACTCTTAGTCCCCTTTCACCCATTCACCCCCCACCCCCACCTCCACTCTGATAACCATCAGATTGTTCTCTATAGTTAAGAGTTGGTTTCTTGGTTTGTCTCTTTTTTTTCCCCCCTTTGATTCTTTTGTTTTGTTTCTTAAATTCCACATATGAGTGAAATGATTTCTCTGACTTATTTTGCTTAGTATTATATTCTCTAGCTCCATCCATGTTGTTGCAAATGGCAAGATTTCATTCCTTTTTTATTTTTGCCTTTTATATATGCCATATCTTTATCCATTCGTCAATCGGTGGACACATTGACTGTTTCCATAATTTGACTATTATAAATAATGCTGCAATAAATATAGGGGTGCATATGTCTTTTTGAATTAGTGTTTTCATATTCTTTGGATAAATACCTAGTCGTGCAATTACTGGATCAGGTGGTAATTTTATTTTTAATATTTTGAGGAACCCCCATACTGTTTTCTACAATGGCTGCACTGGTTTGCGTTCTCACCAGGAGTGCACGAGGGTTCCTTTTTCTTCACATCCTTACCAACACTTTCTGTTTCTTGTGTTTTGGATTTTAGCCATTGTGACAGGTGTCAGATAATATTGTAATTTTGATTTGCATTTTCCTGATGATGAGTAATATTGAGAATCTTTTCATGTGTCTATTGGCTATTGGTATATCTTCTTTGGAGAAAAGTCTATTCATGTCTTCTGCCCATTTTTAATCGAATTAATTTGTTTTTTTGTGTATGTTGAGTTTTATAAGTTCTTTATATATTTTAGATACTAACCCTTTATCGGATATGTCATTTGCAAATATCTTCTTCCATTCCTTAGGTTGCCTTTTAGTTTGGTTGTTTGTTTCCTTTGCTGTGCAGTTTTTATTTTTTTTCAAAATTATTTTTTTAAGTAATTTCTACACCCAATGTGGGGCTGGAACTTAAAACCCCTAAGATCAAGAGTTGCATACTCCACTGACTGAGCCAGCCAGGTGCCCCTGTGATGTCATCTAAACAAAAGTTTCACCTGACCCTGTGGGCAATGCTGAAGATAGATAGGGGGCCCTTCAGAGATTTTCCTAGTTGAGATGAGGGGCTGGACATTTACATCTGTGATGATCCATCACTGGATCCTGGTATGTGGAAGGGTGTATGTGCTTGTGCAAGGCACTTTTTTTTTTGGTTCTAAAAGTGGGACCATAGTTGAGGGCTAATTGCTAGAAGCTAGTATTCCCAGCAGCTGATGAGAATAAGGCTCTGTTTGTAAAGGCAGCTCGGAGTAGTGCATCCCAAATCTAATAATACAGATGGAAGCTATTTCATGGTAATTTAGTGAATATGAAGTAGTACATATTTTCATTTATTAAATTGCCTGTGAGTTTGACACTTCCTTCGTGTATGTATTATCAGGCAGTTTTTTACCTGAAATTATAATTGTGCAAAGAGGGAGCTATTCTTTATTTACTCTATTAATTATCTGATTGTATGAGCGCATTCTCTATTATTTTACCTCAAAGATGCTACTCTGGGATTTTATGTATGCATGTATGTATGTATGTATGTATGTATGTATGTATGTATTTATTTATTTATTTATTTATTTATTTATTTATTTATTTATTAATTAACAAATTTGTTGGGGGAGGCACCTGGGTGGCTCAGTTGGTTAAGTATCTGACTTTGGCTCAGGTCATGATCTCACGGCTCGTGGGTTCCGAGCTCTGCATCGGGCTCTGTGCTGACAGCTCTGAGCCTGGAGCTTGCTTTGGATTCTGTGTCTCCCTCTCTCTGCCCCTGCCCTACTACACTTGGTCTCTCTCTCTCTCTCTGTCTCTGTCTCTCTCTGTCTCTCTCTCTCTCTCAAAAATAAATAAACATTAAAAAATAAAAATAATTTTTTTAATGTTTATTTATTTGTTTTAAGACAGAGAGAACGCAAATGGGGGCAGGGCAGAGAGAGAGAGAGGGAGACAGCGAATCCCAAACAGACTCTGCACTGTCAGCACAGAGCCGACATGAGGCTCGAATTCATGAGACCCATGAGATCATGACCTGAGTCGGGTCGGAAGCAAGAGTCAGACACTTAGCCAACTGAGCCACCCAGGTGCCCCTAAGATTTCATTTAGAAGTCATCAGGTGGAATTGGTACAAAGATAGGAGAAATCGAATGCAGATTTAGTAATTACTCCTGGTGTTACTTCAGTATGTGTTATAACTAAACGAGTTAAGATGTTTAAGCACTTGGATCAGTTACTGGTGCATAGTGTTAACTATTGTTGTAGATAAACATTTTAAAAATTTACTTAAAAAAGAAATAGAGCGGTTCTAATGTTTTGCAAATGGCTTGGGGATGGAAATGTAATTTCCTGAAATAGCATCATATGCAGATTTTAAAACACGTTTATTTTTAGTAAAGATGATGTGCCGTGGTGGGCACAATAATGCTCCCTCCCCTCAAACAAGGATATCTCAGGACCTGGGAGCATTATTCAGTTTCATGGCAAGGGAGAATTGGGGTAGCAGGTGGAATTAAGGTTGCTAATCAGCTGACTTTAAGATAGGGAGATTGTCACGTGGGCTCAGTGTAATCCCAAGGATCCTTGGAAGTAGAAGTGGAAGAAGAAGGCAGTGCCGGCACTTGTCGTGATGTGAGAAAGTTTCAGCCGGCCATTGTGGGTTTTGAAGATGGAAGGGAGGCAGGAAGCTTAAGAACGAGTGCAGCCTCTAGAAGCTGGAAAAGGCAAGGTAGCAGCTTTTCCTCTAGAGCCTCCAGAGGGGAAGACAGCTTTGCAGCACCTTGACTTTAGTCCAGTGAGACTCTCATCAGGCTTCGGACCTCCAAAACTGTAAGATAATAAATTTGTGTAGTTGTATAGTAGCAGTAGGAAACTGATATATCCTAGCTTATTGTGTGAGGTATTTTATTTAAAAAAGTTGTCTTTTCAATGTTTATATATTTTTTGAGAGACAAAGTGTGAGTTGGGTAGGGAGAGAGGGACACAGAATCCGAAGCAGACTCTAGGCTCTGAGCCGTCAGCACAGCCCAACACGGGGCTCGAACTCACAAAAGGTGAGATCACGACCTGAGCCGAAGTTGGACGCTTCACCGACTGAGCCACCCAGGGGCCCCTGTGTGAGGTATTTTAAAAGTGTCCCTAGTGGGGTGCCTGGGTGGCTCAGTCGGTGAAGCATCCGACTTCGGCTCAGGTCGTCATCTCGCGGTCCGTGAGTTCGAGCCCTGCGTCGGGCTCTGTGCTGACAGCTCAGAGCCTGGAGCCTGTTTCAGATTCTATGTCTCCCTCTCTCTCTGACCCTTCCCCCGTTTATGCTCTGTCTCTGTCTCTCTCTCTCTCTCAAAAATAAATGTTAAAAAAAATTTTTTTTAATAAAAAAAAGTGTCCCTAGTGATGATAGGTAAACACTAATGTTAGAACTGCGTTTGAAGAGTCTGATTAAAATAGTTTCATGAAATAACGGGAGTGAGGAAGCACTTTTTCTAAATTAATTCATATCATGTGATTTAAAGTGATAATGTAACTGATTTAATTAATGAAATACTGTAAGTAGATCTTTGATTAATATACATCTGTGTGCTTAAAAATTATTACTGGATATTCTCATATCCATATACTTGGAGTTGCTTACATCAATCCTGATGTACATTGTATTTTTATTTCCTCCTGGGCAGTTGTCTTCATGGTTCTTTGCCCTTAGTTATTGTTTTATGTTTTATCGTAACTGAAATCTGGCATTACTGCCTACCTATATGCAGTGACTAAATTAAATAGCCCTACAGTATTTCGGGTTCGATTTATCCCAAAGTAACAATGTTAACTTTAAACAAAAAAGCAGAAATGTATTTCTTCTAAGTTCTTATGGAGGCATTTTGTATTCCTCACTCAGTTTATTGATCCTAAGTAGGGATTGAGATGCATTGCCACCTGGGGCGCCTGGGTGGCGCAGTCGGTTAAGCGTC